GCTTAAAGCCAAGTTTTAAAAGATTAGCACACAGTTTTAGTTCAATTCAAATGTTTCTGAGAATGAATTTGGATTATGATCTATAGTCATAATCTGTCTTCCAGACTGATCATGTCTGGACAAAAAAAATGAATGGTCTTAAATTATGTTTGCTTTGCTTTGTGATGTTTACATGCAGCGAACAGTATTTCCAGATGCCTTTCATTTCTCTCTGGGTGCCAGCACTTTCTGTCAGTGTTCTTATGTAGGATCAGTCTGCAACTTCAATACATTTTATTTGGTGTTTCTTAGGGAAAGGAGCCAGGGGTATTGATTTGACCATTGATCTTGGCCCTCAGCAGAAATTAAAGTTACTTATGCTCCATTTCACATAAAACCTGATTGTATGTACGGCAGCTTTGTGTTTATGACATTTTATATTAATTCGTTGTAAAACTGCCCTGTGTTATATGATGTTAGTTTAGAATGTTTTTGATGCAGTTTTCATTATTTATGATTTTTGCTTCTTGCAAACCGACACGTGCAAATAGAAAATGCCGATATGAAAGGACATCGTGTGCCCCTACTAAGCCGGCAAACTGGTCTTATATTTATGTAATTACACAACAATTTATAGCTTTCAGATGGCTCTGTTTAAAGAGGGTTTGGCCCATGGAATGTGTGGGTAGAGTTTGCTAGGTAAGGGTATATTATTGTTAAAAGAACCCAAATGCACACTGTGTTCTCCTGCTGAGTCCTTAAATTGATAATTATATAGTAAGGCACTCATGAACCACTAAAGACCAGACCAAAGATATTTGTCTTTTGTTTAGTTTTCCAGATGGATCAAACTAACTGAAGAAATTTCTCATGGTGTCATTAACATGGGTGCTCTTTTCACACCTACACGTAATGTCCAAATGTGACATATTGCCTCAGGTTGCTAATCTAAGCTCATGCTGTGCCTCTTTAGTAATGCCTGAGATGCATATTTTTTTAACTTAGTCAGAGCACATGGATACTGTCATAAGTTCTGATTTTGACTAAATTGTTAAAGAACAGTTTTGCAAATTAGCTATAATATAAGCCCTAAGGTAATTACATTTGGTAATGTCATATTCAGTGCTTTGTATTCCTAATAAATCATAAATAAATTGTACATACAATTATAACAGCTATTTTTATTTTATTTTAAAATTTCTGACTACTAGGGATATTTTAGAAAAAAGAAGAAATTGTTTTCTCATCTTTGTCCCATGCAGGGCCATATAATGGTTCGAATTAAATACATGTTAGCTGAAATTTAGAGCAGCAGAAAGCTTCTTGGCTTGAGCTGGGATATTAAAACAGGTCAGAAAACATTAGCTGAACCCAGGATAGAATCAGGTTGTCATCCAAAGTCTGACTCCCTCCTGTACTTTTATACTGCTTTTGCTCTTTATTGTTGTTTTAGTCATTTATAGTATTTGGGATTTGTGTGTGGTGGTATGGTGACGCAGTGGTTAGCGCTGTTGCCTCATAGCAAGAAGGTTCTGCGTTTGAGTCCTTGTGTGGAGTTTGCATGTTCTTCCTGTGCCCGTGGCAGAGGACCTGGGTTTTCCCTAGGTCCTCTGGCTACCTCCTAAGCATGCAGCTTAGGAGTGAGTGTGTGTGGTTGTCTGTCTCTTAGTGTCAGCCCTGTGATAGATCGGCGGCCTGTCCAGAGTGTATCCTTCCTCTTGCCTAGTGTCAGCTGGGATAGGCTCCAGCTCCCCGTGACCCTGTTCAGGATAAGCCATATAGCAGTAAAATCTATTATCTGCTCAGGAGTAATCAGTTAGTCAGAACTACAAGTCACAATTATGTTTAGAACTGTGCATCAACTCACTTCTACTTAAACACAAGTGGCTGTTCCTGACTCCTGAGCTGTACTAAAGTCACATATAAGATTCATGACTTATTCTGATTATCAAAACATCATCATTCCTTTCTATGACCACATGCAAACCATAAAACATCAGAATAATTCAGTTCTTTTTCCTTTTCTCTCTCTCGACCCTTTTTTTAAATGTCTTTGTTCCCTCATTTACTCCACTTTTGTCCACATTGTATTTAGATCTGTCTCTTTCTTCTTTTGGTTTTTGTGAAGTAGCAGAAATCTGGCATTCAATGGGCAATCCTCTTGTAGAAGGTGGGGAAATAGCCTAGTGAACACTTGACAAATCAGGTCAGCAGTCATCAGTCTTTAAAATATTTTTACCAAATATTTTTGCAAACGATCAAGTTGTCTAGTAGGGGTAATTTATTGTTTCATGAAATGTTGGTGCAGTAACATACCGTACTTAGCACACTAATTGAAAGAAAAACAACAAACACCTCTCTTTTGTTTATGATTTTCATATAAGGGGAAAAAAGTTATCATGGCAATGAAAATAGAACAAAAGGTTGATTCACAATTCTGACTAAGACGTAGCTTGTACAAACTAAAAGATATCCACAGTCCACTTGCTCATCTATAGTGGCAGCTACTGTGTAAATGTTAAGCTACTGATTTCATGATTTTTCATAACACATACTGTACAGCTGAGCATGCAGCCTTCTTTTTGGAGATGATTTAGGGCACAATGACTGCTGAGTTCCAAAGGTCAAGGTTTTGTGCTTTTTTTGGGGGGGGGTAGGGGGCCCCTCCCAGTGACTGGAAGTGGTGTGTTAACCCCAGGAAAGACATGAACTCATGATTCATGATCATTAAGACTTGTTGATCTGACACCAAATCCATGTAAATTACATATAGGAGCACAAAATAACACCTGAAAGCAGGTCATGACACGTGATAAATTATAAATATGCTGCACATGTATTGCTCTCATGAGGCAGTTCCCATTAGAGCGTGGAAATGGTGCGATTCACTTCAGGAGGGTTTTTTTTTTTCCGGCCATAAATGTGAAACTATGTTTTCATTTATGATTATAATATGTAAAAATACCAACCCTAAAACAGTTTAAAAATATTGTTACACACATGAAAAAGATTATTATGCTATGTGAAACCTATCTTGACTTGGTTTGTGTACTGCTCACCGTTTGTCTTCTTATATTTCTTTCAGTTCTCTGTGTTCGCTCAATCTGGCTATGGTTGTTGGCTCTAGTTGTAAAAAAAAAAAAAAAGTATTGATGTTTATATTTATATACAGTTACACCATTAACCTGCTTATACCACGAAGACACCATCGATTCATTGCAGTATAAATTACAGTGGTTTTGTTCCTGTTTGTCTTTTATTGTTTCTCTTTATTATATGTCTTCCTGTTGTTACTGCTCTCTCTCTTCTTCTTCTTCCTCTCCTTGTCCTATGGTCTTCTCCCATCCTGTATTCTTTGTGGTAATTCTAGTCAACTGCTATTCTTTAAGACTGCTGCCATTTTCCCTATGCATTCCATTTTTTCCTGTTTAACTATTTTATTGCACCATCAGTTGTCATAAATGGTGTTACCTAAGCAGCGGGTAGCTTTTTTGAGCATATCTGCAAAGTATTGTTTTATAGTTTGTGAAAATCAGACACATTTAGTGGATTACAATAATGATAATGATAATAAATTTCAACAGTGTTCCAGCACCTGCGGGGCTCAGACCCCTAAAACAGCTAAATCCTGTAAATTGGAAGACACTGAAATCACTCCATTGCTAAAGTTCAGACAAACCGAAATAATATGGACTTGGTCATGTTACGTCAAAAATGGACATTATGTAAAACATCTGTCTTCCTAATTTCCTTTTGACGAACCAAGATAATCTGTGTGTTTAAAAGTTTTCATTTTGAGTAAGAGCTTATCCAATGATTATCAAAACATAAACACTCTGTGCAGGTGGTCTTAAGGTTTAAAGTTTAAAAATGAAATAAAAGATTGTGATGGCATAAGCTGTTTATTTTAAAAGGTAACAAATGAGAATTCCAGCATCCACTGGAGATTGGGCCAGCATCTTCACAAAAACATTCAAATATCAAATTTAAATGTGTCTTGATGTTGGTACTGACAACTTCCTTTGCTGCCCAAAGGGTGCTTTAACAAAAGAATAAATGAGATTTATGTTTAAAAAGGTAAAACCTTCAAAAGAGCAACCCTGCAACAGTGCAGGAATGTATTTCAGGGAAACCTCCTATACACAGAGCTCTTTTTGTTAAAAGGTCAGATCATTCATTCATGCAGTTCTTTTTCCTCTCTTCTGCAACCTTTTCTTACCATCCCCCTTGTGCCCTACCAGCCAGACTTACTCCTTGTGTTTATAAGTTGGCCCATGTATCATAAGCTAAAACTAAGCTGCCCTTTAGCTCATGTAGAAATAGCTGGAAATCCAACCATTTGAGAGCTTTTATACTATTTTGACAGCTCAATCTTTTTTTCCATCACCCCCATGAGCACTGGAAACTGGCTGTGTGTATGTGCCTAAACGAACAAGTATGCACTGCTCGCCTTTCCCGAAAGCTGACATGAAAGATATTTCGCAACTTGTGAAGTAGTGTTTTGTGAGACACCATGGTGTTCAGTGAGGTATCACTGTAACAGTACCATGTGCCTATAAAGGAAAGAAATCCTGTTTTCCTACAGTTCTTTAATGTAGTGTGTATGGGTTACAGCCAGTAAAAAAGTCATATTCAATTTAGCCTTGGGTTAGGTGCTGCCAAAATGGCTCCCACCAGACACAGTAGAGGTGAAACTCACAATACCAGAGACACATGACACAGTCATTTCATAAACATAAAAATTCATTCATCACTAAGTTCAGGTTGTGGACCTTTGTTTTCCTGTGTTGATACATGTGGTGGAACCAAAACATGTGGCATTGTTTTATTTAACTAAGAACAACAAATGAAAGATCATGCTGAAAGATAAGTTTGCTTTTTTCCTCCCTTTTTGGCAAAAAAGGGAGCAAAGAATTGTGACAGATGGTAAAACAATACAAATAGCATTTCCAAAGTGACCTTTTGCTTCTTTTTTCCTTTATTTTGTCATTTTTTTCTTTTCAATTTCATGTCTCTACCAGGTGAGGTTCTGAGCTTGATGGACGATCTGTTCTCTGGTTTGGGTTCATCCTGTGTTGTTGCTGGGAGGAGGAGTGGAGACCATCCTCACTCTGTGCTATACTCAGTGGTCTTCAAGTGCCTAGAACCTGACAGTCTCTACAAGTAAGTCTGCTGTCATTTGAGCTACAGATTTATTGTGGCTGTTTATTTCTTCACCATATGAATAATCATGAGGCATCATATGTGTTGTGTTGTACTTAGTACAGAAATATGTTCAAGGCTCCTACACATGTCTTTAAAGTGTGGAAGGTATTTATTTCTTTCTAGATTTCAGTGACCGTAAAAATGTATAGAACACTGATGTTCAACTTAGGTGAAAAATGTTTTCAAATTTGTGTTAATGAAGCAGTATACACAGTATATTAGAAGCTGGTAGAGAATTGCCATCTGGTCAGAGTGGGAGGTTTTGTGTGCCCCTGTGACCCAGCTAGAAGTGTTGTGCAGTTCCTATAACAGTGAGATTTATCAAGGCACACTGGCCCCACGCGAGGGGCTAGACTTTCAAATGATTCTATATTCAGCATCTTAAACAAAAAAGAGCATTTTTGCCCAAAACAGGGAAGCTGTGGCCTCATCCTGGAGCCAAGGGAGTGTTCAGGCTAATGCTTGTTGACTGGATATGTACAGTATCCATGGGGTCTGATCAGGTTCAGCTAGGACAAGGAACGTGGGGCCACCACCATGGGGTACAACACCCTAATGTTACAGGGGTCACATTGGTCTGGAGGAGCACAGTTGGGTGCATGTGTGTGCTGACCCCTGACAACAAAAACTGGCTCTCTGGAAATGGAATGTAATGTTTCTGGTGTGGAAGCAAGTTCAGTACAAACTCCTGTAAATATATACTATATCATTTCTGTCTAGGGACAGAAGGAGAATCAAAGTCCAGCATAGGGGTGGGTGCACAGATACCCATGAGCCCATCTTCCCCTGCTGTGGTGTGGGCAGAGTGGGATGCTTCAGAAGACGTCTCACTGGTCAAAGTGCAGTGGTGAAGTACCAGGGTTGGTTGAAGTTTTCCCTAAAATGCTAAAGGCTCCAGATATGTTTTGACAAGTTTACTTTATACACTTCATCAGTACAGTACAGGGAAAGTGTTTGAATTCAGTGTCTCCCATTGCCTTGTAAAGCCCTTTTCTTGAATATGATGTTGTGGACATCTTTTCAAACAACATCTGGGCAAACATCAGCAATACCACATCCTCTTTTATGTGTCTACAATTCCCACTGCAAATGTTATTTTGTTTCAGGGGATGAATTTTGCTACCTGCTCTATAAGAAAATCTGGTTTGAGTTAACCAGCGAGGTATTTAGTTTGAATGTGGTAGAAGTGGTGGATGCCTTTGTTCTTTTATGTTCCCTTTGGCCACAGGAGAACAATGAGAATAGAAGGGTCCCTGTTAAGAGGTCATATTTGTTAAATTCAACGAACAAACAGATCACTCTCTGTGTATATTATGGAGGGCATTTACCTAACAGACATACACTGCGTGACATTAGTTTGTCATTACAAGCTATCATAGCCAATATGGTCATCACCCTAATACATCATCAGTATCCCTGCCAGTGATGCCCATCAGCCTCTAGTAGCCCAAAGCTCTCATCAGGAATATTTACAGTACTACACAGTGAGCAACAATAATACTTTAATATTCGTCTGAATTCTGTTTCTAGCATTTTTTTGTGTACTGGACTGCGTTACACTGAAAACCTGTTGATAATATCCTAATTATTAGACTACAACCACACAAATGACCCTACAGCTGCATCTACATGTCTCTCACACGGAAAAAAAAAAGCTGATAGTGTTAATTACTAGGCTGTTTAGGATTCCATTACAAGATCAAGTGAACTGAGAGCTAATTGGACTAGAAATATACATTTTCTTTCGAATGAAAGATTTTTTTTTCTTTTTTCCCCACTGGGTATTGCTGTAGTGTGCAGTTCCAGTTAGCACCATTTGCCTCCCTCTACATCTTGAAATAAAGCTGCAAGAGCAATCAATAATGTGTGAACCAGACAGAACCAAGATGTTGTTGTGGCTGTCAATGGACACATGAAACACACTGTCTTCTCAGGTTTTGTTGAGGGTCTTACGTCTATAATGACCTTACCATTTGGTGACCTTGGTTTGTTTTGGGAACCTCAGTGTTTCCCCACCAAAAGAAAAATAAAGTCAGGATTTAAAGCTATCTAAAGTCATGTTTCTTTTGCTTCATCAGTATGTGGGGATACATTAGATGTACCAGTCAAAGTTACAAAAAACTAATTACTTTGAAATTGCAACAGTTTAGTCTGATTTTTCTAATGGGACTCCAAATGTCAGCAAAGTATTTGTGTTTCCATTACATCAAATGAAATCAAATAACACAAATAGGCATCATACAAAGACAAATTCACAAGGCTCTGGTTGCCATGATGATACACTAATAAAAGAAATACTCTATACTGACCCAGAGGAACATTAATAATGTAACCCTACTACAGCCTTTGTATTGATGTTTGTGTATATGTGTATTTTTGTCAAAGGGAAAGTGATGGATAGGCTAATCTAGCAGTTCCAACAAGCTTGACACCAACACAACTACGACAGTAACATTTTGTATGCTGTTTTTTTTTTTATTCATCTAATAGTGACCATTAGAGTATGCAGTCACTAGCTATTGAGCCTGACCATTTCACAATAGAGGTAGCAGCCACACAAGCATGGAGTAGTCCATATTTGGACAGATTCCCTTGTTCAGAACTGAGCATTTTAACAAGCAAATAAAGATGATAAAGAAAATCCAACAAAACAAATCAATTCAATTCAATTCAATTCAAATTTGTTTTGATTTGTGTAGCGCCAAATCACAACTACAGTCATCTCAGGGCACTTTACATAGTAAGGACCTTACTACTATTGTTGTTATTATTATTATCATTATTATTATTATTATTATTATTATTATTATTACTATCAAGACACCCCCCCAAGCAGGCAAACAGTTATCAGTCAGTGATGACATTGCTAGAAGCTGAAAATAATGCCAACTGCATAATTGCTGTTTTGTTTAAGAAAACAATTAGCATACACCAGTTTCCTACAGAGGTTGGCAGTGAATGAAGAATAGTTTGGGAATAACCATTGGATTAATTTGTACAAGTCAGGCATCCACTAACAAAAATCTGCAACAGGAGCCTCATTTCCAACTTTGTAGCAGTGTTATCTTTGTTTAGGAATTCTCCACAGTGTTGTCTCTCTGATAAGTGCAGCATTTACGTTGGAATTACGTCTGAGGACCCATCTGCTTGCAGCCAACTCTGCTTGTCTTAATCAACAGCCTGATAAAACCTCTGCTGGTACTGCCTCTATGCTTGATCACTCCAAGGCCTAATGTTCTCCTGGAACCTAAAATAATGTTTGCTCTATTAAAAGTTACACACCTCATTTCAACATTTTCAGAAATTAATGAGCGATAATCAGTGTTGTAGACATTATAAATGAATGACCAAAGCTGCTATAATGCCAGTTGTGATATACTGTATCTTGTCACAGCATTGGCTGTACTGAGAAATGATTAGTTGTTGTGTCTAAGTGATTTAAAGCTCCCATATGTCCACTGTCCACCCACCCACACTTTTTCACTTGTGTTGCTTGATTAGAACTTTTCTCACGACTGTGTGGGCATTTACAAACTGGGGTTAATTGACACCTTCCTCGCTCTCTGGTTAGTTTTGTTTCACTTCTTACAGTGGGACAGTTTACCCTGATATCATTCCTATTGGTCCACTGAGTAAGCTCAAGCTTATCTCTGCCTAGCTTCAACCCCAGTAGGTGGGAAGGTCCACGATTAGTTCTAAGAAAGGCATGTGCTGTGGAAAGTGTGTTTTAATATATGAGGATTTCACTCATGTGCATTCATTCATTTAAATGTTGAATGAAACTGGGCAGTCGTGACAGCGCATCCTGACACTGGGTCATCCAGCATGATGATCACCTTCTGTGTGAAATGTCATTTGAAGTACTTTGGAAATAATGGTGATATCAGTTTACTTAATACTCCCAATTCCAGAAATATCTGGCATTTAAAACTGACTTGCTTATGATGGGATGTTGTCATGTTTAATTGGAACTATCGTGCGTTGCTGTTGTGCAATGGACATCAATAAGAGATTCATTTATCTAATTCACAATTATTGGCAAGGTACTTTTATTTAAGGCGGTTGCACCAGAATGATGCCACTTCGATCAGGGGATTTTTGAGAATTTCAAAGTCATGAGACACTGTAAACTCACATTAGGCAGTGAGATATTTTATGTGGCTTGGATTGATTTGTGGATTGGCTCAACTGATGTGTGTCCAGATGCTGATGTTACTGAAAAGGCATCCCCCGAGTGACCTGGCTTCTCTCAGCATGCCAAAAATACTGCCCTAATTGATCCTCCTTCACTCTCACTTTCTTTCTTTATCTCTTGCCTCGTCTGTCTCCAAGCTTTCTGTCTTGTCATCTCTTGTTCAGCCATCTCTCCACTGTCCCATTAAATTAGAGGACAATGGTTACTTTAATGGCAACCTTGTTAATTTACACAAAGTTTAATCAGCCATTTGTCTACTCCATTGTTTGCTAAGCTTTCAAAACTTTGGCACAAGGACAAAACTGGGCCTCTTGCATAGGAACCATGTGCAGCCAAACAGCCTTGGAATAGATGTTAGACACAGGGACTTAGAGAGGGGATAGACAGAGATGAGCTATATGCAATGTAGGCAGAAAAACAGAAAGACAAAGGAAAGCATATCTGTGTGTGTGAGTGGGTGGGTGGTCGTGGTGGGTGGGTGTATTTCTCACCAATTCTCTTACTTGATGTTTTTACATTCTCATGGCAGGCCACACTATAGCTTGATACTTTGCTCTCACAGGCAATCATTATCATCACTGAGCGCTTGTAAAGAGCTCAGACACCACACTGTCTGTCTGGCCCCTGTACCTTCCACTATCAGTGTCCATGAATGTTTAAAGGGTCAGTGTAAAGTGTAAATTATTGTAAAGGACTGCTCTCCTGGCCAAAGTTTCTGTAGTTAAACATGAAAAAACTGTTATTCTTTGTTTTCTGCAAAATGCTGATTATGTTATCCTTGTTTCACTCAGTCAAAATTTAAATCTCCTGAGCTTTGAGATGCTTAACTGCCTGGCAGAACAGCTTTACTACTGTACATAACAATCTTGTAATTGCTGTAGAGGCTGTGAAAAGGGAAACAGCACCTGTCACTGATGTCAACCATTTAAACAACAAGAAATTTCAATAAATAGCTGGCAAGCTAGCATCCTGGGTCCCAAACAAAACTTTTAACAAATTGGTTTGATAAAACTCCCGCCTCATCTTCCCTCGTCTCCTCTCCCCTCCCCCCGTCTCATTGTATCCATTTGCACGTTATGTGGCCACATAATTTAAACAGTGTGACTGTTACATGCCGGCATTGTTTTGCTGGGCAGAGGAGTCAGTGAGGCTCGTTGGTGAGTTTGTTGGGGAATACCGCATCCACCCTGATGAATAACAAGAGCAGACAAACTATGTGAACAATGTCCAAACAGGTCATGTTACAAACAAAACAATAATTTGACAGCATTGGAACAACTCTGACAAGACATTACATTTAAATATGTTTAGGGGGGGAAAGCAACTTTTGTAAAAGCAATAATCCTTTTTTTTTTCATATGTTTCTAAAGGTTTTTGTCATTGGAATGCCAATGGAGTTGTTCATCTTGTCTCACTGTGCTTTGTGGTTTCCTATTTGTCATTCTGTTGTTTTTACAGTGGTAACTGTGGAACTGCTGAAAGCCAAAAGTTTTTCAAAACTAGCTACAAACATTTCTCAATACTAAATTAACTTCCTCAAAACTTTCTCTGCATTTAAAAAAAGTGCATGTGGACTAAGGAATGACTTTTTTTTTTTTCAGAAAGTCTTTACTCACAAAACAATCTTCATACAACTGTGCATTATATATGACAAACATGATTTAACTGTTAAATTAGCATACAACATTTAACTAGAAATAATAATAATGGGCCAAATAGCAACACTTGTTTACACTGTGCAGTCAGCTACCTGTAAAGCACCATCACCTTTCTACATACATTAGGTCAAACCCTGAACAACGGCGGCTGTGTTCTGTTCAAGTGTCATGACAGTGTGGCAGTGAGCCAGCATGCACAACACCAGCACCCTGAAACCAAAGCATCCATCATTAATTTTATCAGACGTGCACCTTACCTACTATGACAGGAATATGTCTTCTGTGTGAAGGGACCAAAACAGCCGACTGTAGCTTAAAATAGAGAAAATGTTTATGTGACACGATTAATATATCAAGTTTAGCTGAGAGGTGTGTAAATTATGGATCCACTATAACCAGTAAAAGTAGCTGCTTGGTGTAGTTTCTGTAGTTGCACTGGTCACACAGTGAGCATTAGAGGCAAGTTAAAAGTTCTGCCACCATAAAAGTGGCAACGGCAAATACTTGTGCGCATCCGTGATATCAGCAGCCGCTCTCTCTCACCTTGCTGTGACAAGAATATTGATGGTTGTATGCCACCACGGAGCCTTTTTTAGCCTCAGAATGACCAGTTTCCTGCATGTACTTTTTCTTATTCAGACGTACACAGATTGGCATTTTGAAAAGGACATATAAAGGTCATTTGTTTTTTATTCCAAGCTGTGTGGCCCTACAGTACTTGAGATGCATTACATTTTGTCGTTGTGTCTCATCTCCTATTGCAGTGTCTTGAACTGTTCACTGTGGTAGCTTATCAGAGTACTGAGTGGTCCTGCCATGGAACCCAGAAAATTCTGATGTTTGACATTTTCAGATAGAGGAACTTTGTCCTTATAGAGTTCTTGGAGTCAAGCCAGATGCCCCTTTACTCCTCTCTCTACTGGCTGTACTCATTTTCAGATCTAATTAAACCCCACAGTCCCTGGCGCTCCTTGTTCACAAGACATTTTCTCAAACACTATGTGATGTCAGTGTATGGTCATGTATGATAAGATATATTCTCACATAGCAAGAGCATTCAGTTCTTGTTATCCTTCATAACAGTTACACCTTTTGAATTTATGTATAGCCAGATAATTTGAGATTGCTGAAGGAAGGGTTGCAAGAGACTGTGTCAGGCTATCTAAAGACTTGTTATATCAGTGTCATTTATTTATTGATGAGATTTTCTCCAAATCTCTGAACTTAACAAGATGGCTATGGGAGTTTGGATAGCACGAGTCCACTGGTAATGGCTTTCATATATCTGCGCCTCACTTTGACTACTCTTTCTTGCCTAACCTTGGTATGTTGTCCACAAATAATAAACTTGCTTCTGTTGCTTTTCTGTCATTTTTAGGTTTACTCTCAATGCAGTGGATAGCCGAGGCAGTCACTCTGAATCGAGCTTTGTCTCAGTACGGACGTCCTGTCCAGTGGTGGATGACAGCCGAGCTGAAGGTGCACTAACTGATGCTGGTTTTTCATTTTCCATATTTGCAACTTACACCCGGATTCTAAATGTTTGATATAATTTCACAATAGACAAGTCATCATTTAATATGTTATATGTGTTATCTCTAACATTAGTCTCTCAGTTCTGATTATTAAAACAAGCTGTGGCAAAATGTGAAGGAGTACCCCACCAAGTTCGTAAATCACTTATCACTGTGAGTTTAACAGGCAGGGAGTTAGTATAAGATGCAGTGTATTTTAAGCTTGACCTGTATCAAAGACTAAAAATCAGGACATTGAGGTGAAAGCCTTAATCGCTGAAATTCTCTATCATATTGCCACAAACTTTCATCTGCTTATTTGCTTTTGTCACTGATGTAAATCCTTCCTCTCTCTCTCTCTCTCTCTCTCTCTTCTGTCTCCTGCCCCCTCACAGAGATAGCAGACAAGGTGTACAACTTATACAATGGATACACCAGTGGCAAGGAGCAGCAAGTGGCCTATAACACACTGATGGAGATCTCACCTCCACTGCTATACAGAGTCCAGCACCACTACAATTCCCACTATGAGAAGTTTGGAGACTTTGTGTGGCGTAGTGAGGATGAGCTGGGCCCCAGGTGATATGACTTAGATGATGGCACAGTTTTCTTGTGCAGGCTTAGATGATACTAGTGTTTTTGCCTGTTGTTTGTCTTACTCGGTCTTTCTCTTATTATCTCTGTCTTTATCTCTGTCACTTGCTCAGCTCTAAGGGTTTTATGTATTGTGTTTTATTATATAAAAGCCCCAGATCATTGTCCACATATAATTTTAACATGCTTCACCACATGTGGACAAATCCTGCACCGCTACACAATGATAATGCATGGCCGGGTAGCATAAGGGAAGCAGCGTTGATACTCCAAGGACCTCTAATAATCCCTTCAGGAATTTTAAATTCTACTTATAAGTAACAGTTGTTATCTGGTGTAGAAATATTTTTTTTCCAGCCTGTGAATATTATTCTGAGCCTTATTGATGACGGATTGCTTAGGACGAGGTAGTCAGTTTTTTCCCCCCCCCCCCCCCCCCAAACACACACACACAGACACACATACACAAAATGTTTCTACTGGAAAGCAAGTGGGCAAGGTCACCATGAAGACTCTGGGGTTGCAGTCGCTTCTCACTTTACCGTGGTGATGCCAAAACAGTGTTTGACAGCCAGGCTAAACACTAAATTTGATAGTCAGCTAAACATCAACTTTCAACTCCATTTCCTCTTTTTCCTCATAAAACAAGTTCCTCTGTGTCCACACTATGCCACCCCGACATCCTGTCAGCCACGACCATGTTTACACGGATGCCCCCGATAATAGTTTGTTGTGTGAACCGACAGTGAGACCTTATGACACCATGGAGACAACTGGAAGGTTACTGACTAACAAAACTGCAAGGGAGGAAGTATAAACAATACTTTAACAAAAACATGAATGCATGCGAGTCTGACAAAGCAGTTGGTCCAGCGCTGATGATGGCAACATGAGGTCTTAAGTTACAGCCCAATATTTTGGTTTGTCCACCCCCACTGCCTGGAAGCACTCCTTTCAAGCCATAAATAATAAAATAAATATGGAATAACTTTGGTCTGTAGAAAGATTATGCTTCTCTCTGATTGGTGAAGGGGGGTGGGAGGCATTGGTAGGCCAGTGGGATTTAACGTGGGGATTGGGGTGGTCGGATGGTGTGTTTTGTGTGTGGGCAGTTGTTTGTGGGGGGGGGGGGCTTTTGGGGGGGGGAGCACGGATTATTTACTGCCTGAAGTTGGCAGGGTTGAGCCTCATTGGGGTAATTTACAAGCAGACTCTATTGGTGGTGCCTTTCAAAAGGTAACAGAATGGCCAAGTGAAACGTAAGCACACTCAGCACTCTGCCAGAAGCCGAGAATCTTTGGAGCCTCCAAATGTTCACCAGCATGTTCAGCACAAGTGAGCCCGATTGCCTTTCATTATTGAATTGTTCACTGGACATGCTGTGATACATGGTTACTACTTTTTTTATTTTTTTATTTTTTTATTTTTACATTTATTGTAAGCACAGCTAGTGTCTTTTACTGAAGTGCACTTTTTTCTATTTCCACACATCAGTGTCTGTGATTTGATGTTGTTTTTAGTTCTGGGCTGCATTCCTTTGAGGCTGTGTTTGTGTTGTAATCACTTACTTAGGATTCAGTTGCTTCAATCACATGAAACCAAATTCTTGACTTAGATGCAGTGGTTGCAACCTGAAAGGTTACACAGAAATAATGGTTTAAATGTCTTTTATTATTATTTTGTTAGTAGTTGTGTTGTCATTTTCCATGACATTCGATGTTTAGTTTTTCCTTGTGTCATGTGCTTGCAGCCTCCCCTGGTTATGTGTTTGGTATTCTGTTGTTTCAGAAGTAAGAATTTAGGGGAAATGAGAAAATGTTAACCCCCCCCCCATTTTCAGCAAATAAGTGAAAAGGAAGTCTGAACTCCTTGCTAAACTAAAGACAGATGTTGATGCTCAGCAGACACTGCTTTTCCAAACAAATGCAATTTTGCCCTTCTCAGTGTGTTTTCCTCATTTTAGTATCCATATGAGCTTAACAATGTCGATAACTCATACTGTTGGTGTATTTCTATTTTTCAAGAGTGGACTGTGTGTGTGTGTGTGTGTGTGTTTGCGCACTGCCTTGTATTGCAAACATTGCAGGGACTGAAACCTGATTGTGTACTCACACTGTAGGGACACAGCCTTTCTTGTAGGGACCAGATGCTGGTTGACACCTTGTAAATCAAAGGGTTTTCTTTCTTTCTTTTTTGTTGTTTAGTTGAGCGTTTTTGTTAACTCTGTGCCATCAAATTAATCTCCTTACACTGAAGTGGGTGGAGTGGCACATTTGAGGTTGTCTTAGTAGATCAGGTGGTAAGGTGAATTGGGAAACTGAAATTGTGGTTCTTTTGATTTTACTGTATCTAAATGCTCATTCAGTTGTTAATGCGTCAAGATAGATTTTGTGCCTGCTCGATTAATGGATTATAGTCCATACTATGAACAGTTTTTATTGGTTTCCCAATAAAACATAGTTGATGTGAATTGTCAGTGTACCACAAAACTCACCCAATTCACTAAAGTACATTGGTGATGTACAGTATCTCAAGGCGAGACAAGTTTATTTGTATACCACATTTTCACATACAAAGGCAACTAAAAGTGCTTTACATAATGCATGTATAGATAAAAACATTAAAATCTAAATTAAAAGACTAGAAGTAACAGATAAAATATAAAATAACAGGTATAAACAAGTTTGAATCTGAGTTAATAAAATATGTAAAATACATTAATCAGAAGCAGTTGAAGAAATTACAATCTCTAGCTTATTTTTTAAATGGCTAAAGTTGGGGCAAATCCAAAGGGAACCTGGTTCCAGCAGTGAGCAGCATTATGGCTAAAAGCCATTTCATCATGTTTAGCTTGAACTCTGGGCACCACTAGCTGAGCAGTCCCTGCAGATATGAGACTCCTCTAGACTTGTACTCAGCAAGCATATTTTGGACCCAGACCACTGAGAGACTTGTAGACAATAGGTAGGGCCTTAAATTCAATTCTGTATTTAATTGGGAGCCAGTGCAAAGATCCAAGGAAGGGAGTAATGTGTTCTGTCTTCTTGGTGTTTGTCAGTATTCTAGCAGCAGCATTTTGAATGAGTTGCAAATGTCTAATGGTCTTATTTAGGAGTCCAGTCAGAGATGTATTACAGTAAGCCACCCTATAAAAAATAAAAGGATCACTGAGCTTTTCTAAAACTTGCTTAGACATAATAGCTATATTTTTAAGATGCCAGAATGGTGATTTTGTTACACCAGTATTCTTGAGTTTTTAGATCCCTAGACTAAAGGCAAGCGCTGAGCACCGGTCTTCCTTCTTTATGGCCAAAAGGAATTATCTCAGTCTTATTTCCATTTAGTTAGAGGACGTTTGGTTTCATCCAGGTGTTTCCTTTCTCAACCCTAGAGAGATCTGTGCCATCTGCAGAGAAATGATAAGCAACCCTATAGTTTTGGAGAATTCGAAAAGGGTTAATCATGTATAGACTGAATGGGGAAAAAAATGTAATATTGGCTAGGCAATATTAGAAAGAAGCATGAAAAAACTATTTTGGTGGTTCACAAAACGCCAAAGTTACAGTCCATGAATAAAAATAGACAAATCTTTGTATTGAACCATCCACAGCAGCTTAGATGCTGAGTACAGTAAATTGAGTTTTTATTCTTAGCCCTACTATCTGTTGCCTTTTATTTACTTCAGTGATTAAATCAGTCCCATGCTTGCAGTAGTGCAGCAATACAAATATGGTTGCACTGCAAGCATCAAAGCTGAAAACGTCTTGTGATACATCACTCAAGCCTGAAAAAAATGTTGTAATTATTCAGAGGAAATGATATTTGTGCTGTTACTGAAAATAAAATTGTAGCTACAGCTTTGGTGATGCTGGACTCATCCTGAACACAGCTGCTCTGTGTCACTGTAGGAACTGTGAATCTGTGTGCAGCAGTTCATGTTTGCTGTGCAGAAAAACATATAGGTAAGATCAGTGTCACAGCAGAAGATTCAAATAATTAATGGAATTGCCACTGCTGTGCCACATGAGTGAATTCTGCACAGCTCCTCTTGGAGTTTGGAGACATCCATTTAATGGCCACAATGATTCGATAACATCAAAGAAAAGGACTTGTATTTTACATTTGTTTCATCCAGGTGAGACAGTATCTGAAAGCAAAGGATTCAATCAAGAAGTGTGAGAGTTTCCAGTGCTATGATGCTGAAGGAGATGGAACAGAGGTCTGATTGGGTACCATTTGGATGTCAAGAGGCGGATACCTGGCTGTGTCTAGTAACACACACGTCCACAAGTTTCTGTGTACCCAAAGTAAACCATTGAATAAATCATCCTTCTCTTACCCTTTTTCAGACTGCAAAAGGGATCCTTCTTGCATCCATTGTCACCTGAATTGCTCAGATTATTTAGCTGCATTCGTGTGCTTGGAACCCAAATTTGGACTTTCACTGCATTCAGTATCAGGAATTAATCTGTTTCTGCATCTGCATGTCACATTGAACCTAAGAGGAAATGTAATGATAAATTAGATTTTTGTTTGGTGATATTGAGCTTGGATATTTATTTATTTTTTGTCTTTTCTTTTAATAGAAAAGCCAACCTGATACTTCGTAGGGTGGAGAAGATTAGCCACTACTGCCGGTCCCTCCTGCACAGCACCCACATCCAGAGCCGCACCGACACCATGGCATATGTCCACTGCCGGAGTGAAGAGGGACGACCTCCCACTAATATGTGGCATGGCTCTTTACATGAAAGTCGCACCACCTGCATGGAAAAGCTTATTTCTGTACAGCGTAACACATACAGCAACACCAAACTCCGATGAGACAGGAATTCGGAGACGATCGGTGCATCTTTTTAATTTCCTGCAAAGTAACGTCATTGATTGATGTACCTTGTCACTCCACTCTGCAGCAGATGTCTCTCAAGTGACTGGTGTATTTTGAAAACCAGGAGAGTCAAAAAAAAAAAAAACTTCAGAATTTACTGGACATTGTGTTAAAGCTACCAAAAAGCATATTTTTGTGTGGCCTACTTTTATTATAAAACAGAGTATTGGGGGGAAAAACAACACAGAGCAAACATATTTCTCAACTGCAAAATGCCAGTGATTGCACATATCAATGAGAAACTGCAGTGTGCACATGTAAAATATCATTCAGCCAAGAGGAAATACTGTTTGGCTTAAATACTTTGAATGTAATATTGTAGTTTCTTTTCAGTGCTTTGAAGCTTACCTGGAACAGTTAAAAGAGGGAGGGGAAAAAGAATCAATAGCCCCTTCAGTTGAAAGGAGAAACTGAAATATGTTAAAGCCATTTGAAAATCACTTACTTTTTTCAAGTTCATTTTAATTTAAAAAATGTAAAGCTTTGCTTAATGAATTTAAATCAGTAAGTGAGAAACTATGTAGTTAGTCTTGTATTATATTTGATAAATTCAACTGAAATAGCAAGGCTGTGTGGTAACAGGATTGAAATATAGGGTAGCGCAAGCCTGTTGAAATTATGCAAAGACAGTGGGTGGCAAACAAACATCATACTCTTTCATAGATTTTTAGATTTAAGTGCTGAAACCTAGAAATCCCTCTGTCATTTGCCTTTTGTGCACCCAAAATAATACTTTTAAAGATATAACAAATTTTAAAAATGTTTATTTTTATTCAGACCAAAAATGGACCTAAACACAGATTTATTATGCCCCAAAGAAGACAATGCTTTTGCCACACTGTCCTTATATACTTTACAGAATACAATAATGAGTAAGTGGCTAAATACACCAGCAGTATTGATATTGAAAAAAATGAAATCAGATGTTATAGCTAGATTTAATAATATCACAAACCCATGTAATATGCTTATAATCTAATAAGTTACAACATGTTGGTGGAATGTGACTTTTGTCATGGCAGAAACCAGCAGCTGATATTCATCATTTCTTCAAATTAACCCAAAAGTAGATGTGCCATAATGCACAAATAAGAGGATCAGTATTAGACAGGACAGTGGAGTCACACTATGGTAACAGTGTGGTCACATGACTGATTCAAATATGTTAATTGAAAAATTACACCTTGAGAAAATATGCCAATTATGATAACAATTCTGAGTAACATCTTCAAGTGGTTGAACAGTTAGCATTGAAAAGTGACTTGTGGAGGCTCAGTGATTGTAGGGATCATCTGTGATCCTTCAAACCTCATATTTTTCAGTCCAGTGTCATATCCTCAAAGCCATGGACATTGTTTTAATGAAGATAAGCAATGCCTTTTTTCAATATTTTCATGTCATGTTATATAAATTGTAATAAATTATTATATTGTAAATTTTAAATTGTAAAAGAAGACATCTGTACTATTATGTCACGTTGTCTTTTTCTGAAGAATGTGAAATATTAAAATATATATAAATCATAAGACTTGATTACATTACAAATGATGACATGGAATTCATTCTTCATTGAAGAGCTGTGAAGAATTAATTTAAATGTATTCTACCAAGAGGTGAAATTTAATCTCCCCCACAAACATAATGGAGATCTAAACTTGTTTACCACATCTGCAGACGGTGTGTATTTACTAATGGTTGAAGCTTTTTCCCATTTTCAACATGGGGGCGGGCTTAGTGCCCATTGGTCAAAAAGTAACTAACATCCGACTGACAGCGGTCAAGTCTGGTTTTACGTCAGACCGAAACTTATTTGTATTGCATGCCATGCTGGTAATTAGTGGTGTGCAATACCGCAAAATTTGGTATTGATCCGATACCAAGTAAATACAGGGTCAGTATTGGCGATAGCGATACTGATACCGATACTTTTTTACTTAGAAAAGCAGCTTAACTGCTTTTGTGTAGGGCAGTAATGCTTCATAATTTATGAAGTGAATGCAATATGCAAATTTTAATGAAAATTGAACATTTGAATTTTCATGATCATTGAATGATTTTGTGATTTCTGAACTTCAATTAGTTGATTGTGATTATGATAATAATAAAACACTGGACAAAGATTTTAGGCAAATAAATACTTTTTATTAACTAAGTTGAAATGTTTTAAATTAAAATTTTTAGATTTTTGTTCAGTTTTTTGTGTAGAAACAATAGAACATAACATAACTCACAGCAGAAGAGGGGGAAGGGCAAAGTGAGCATGAGCGAAGTGAGAGGAGCTTAGTGACGTGCAATTGAAGTGATGAACCGGCATTGAACCATTTCAGGTATGCTGAAAAAACTTAGTTTAGGGCAGGGTGTGATTATGTAAGTGGGATGGAGATCCAAAGATTTTTATTGAGAAACTATATTTTTTCGCGTTACTAAGCATCTCACACTAGGAAGCAGTATCGACTGGTATAGTCACGTAATTCAGACTTGATTGGTCACTGTCTTTTTCCGCACCAAAGCAAGCTTTGTGGTTCAAGGAAAATGCTGCTTCACGTTTTGGGGCATTGGTGTCAGACGACCATCACTAGAGGAGTGGTGTTTGCACAACCACTATGGGGTAACGGGTTGTGTACCCAATGTAGAAAAGAGAAACTGATACGCAAGTATCGATTTCATCACGCAAGTATCGATCGATACCGATAGGCTGGTATTGATACTAGCGATACTTTAGATCGATCCGCCCACCACTACTGGTAATCTTTTCTGCCTCCTCAGAGGGAAAACTAACGCTGGGCTTGCGGACAGTCGTTCACCTGGGGTAGGTTTTATTATGTTTTTAAGAGTTGTGTATCCATTTACGAATGATGTTTTCATCTAAAGTTAGACATGCTTCAACTCACCAGTTGCCAGGAAATTGAAGCGCCACTTCTGCAGGAATTTTTGGGCCTGGTCCACCCTAGGTAAGACTCACGGCATAGAGTTCCCCTGCAAATCTGACAAAAGGGGAAAATATCTGGTTATTTTGCTTGTTGTGCAACAACTTACATTGTTGATGTGTATGCCAATTCCATGACACCAAATTATGAGCAGGGGTAGATACTGGTTTAGAATTAGGAGGCACACCTTTATGCTGTAAATTAACATTTGGAACAAAATTTCATCCTTTTCCCTAAATCCAAGGTCTGTCATGAAAGCAGTGGTTACCAGTTGCACCACACAATACACTGACAAATGCTACTGCTGAAGCCAATAAAAGTGTACAAACCTGACCCCCTGTCAAGGTCACTGATGGAATTTTTTGGCATCTTTCTATTCCCTTCAGTCAGTCATTCTTCAACCAACAACCATTTCTGAAAAGCAAACAGAGTAACAAACCATTTCACCAAGCTGCAGGGATATACAGTATTTACCAATATGAAACCTAACCAACCACAACCATATTTTAATTAGAAAAAATTACCTGTCAGAAGTCCAGCCCTAAAGCTCAAGTGTACGAGCTTCTCCCACGAAGGTGACGTTTACTGGGGCTCTATTTTTTCAAACATTGCTATAGCTTCTTGACACACAAATGACCTTCCTACAGCTGCCAGTGTCAAGCCAGACAGTGCAGATTATCATCTTCACTGTTAAATAGTTTCTAAATGATTACATGGATTGAAGTGAAATAAAGTTTCAAATTTAACACATTTTGTCCATCTCAGGAGTCATTAGGTGCATCCCTGGGACAAATCTTGCTACCAAATGACTTGCTATCAAAGGATACACTTGAAACAAAATTGTACTTCCTGCAACTCATACCTAATTTTTCCATGCAGGCTAGCACACAGGAGTAACTCATACATTTTGTACATCCTCCCATATACTGCATCAGCCAACTAAAGACAGATGAAAAACATTTATGTGAAAACGTTAGATTCCTTTCACATCATTATCCACAATGAAGCTCACGTTATGTCAATAGGTTAATTTGTATATCTAGCTGGCTAAAAGAAAGGATTTGTTCAAAGTAGGAGTTGAATTTAACATCAAAAAGGTATTCAGTGCAAGTCTAAGATAATACATCAAGAACGTGGAGACATTCCAAATAATATCACAGAAGCCACCCACATTGATTTTGCAATTAGCCGACAACTTAACAGGAATACATGTTTACTTTTTAAGCGACTACCAATACATTAAACTAACTCTTCAATTACCATTTCTGGTTTGTACACAAGCTCATCACAGCCCACCATCCCCTACTCACGTGGTCTTCCTTTGGTTTTGCTTCATATAGCCTATGCCTACTAGTTAATGCGCTAAAAATGGCATCAACAAACTCGATAGCGCAAAAGAAAAACTTCACAAGTCAGACAGACGCTTCTAGAGTTGCTGGAAACACTCTGATAGTCAAATTGTGATGCAGAGTGACAATTCTTTTACCTAAAACAATTTTTGGCTGGCAGTACAGAAATGCGTTTCCCTGCTGCCAGCAAACAAACCCACCAATAGCGAGTTTCATGTTGCCCTGTCATGAAATTAGCGTTAGTTAACGACAGCTGTTTGACATTTTAGCAATGGTCAGTACCGGCTAAAAACAGGAAGCTGCTACCTCAAAAATTTCTACACCGAGCTTACTTAAAAAGTTACTTAAATTGTTGCACCCTAACATTGTTAATACACGATGATGCTGATGTAACTTAGGTCAACACCGGAAAAGTTTTAAAAAATAAGACCACTCTTCTATTTCAGGTTTTAAAGACTGTAGACAAGGTAACGCTCCTTTCTAAGAGTGACCCAGTTGAAGAATTTGAACATTAAAAAGGTAAATTTAGCCAAAAAGTGACGCGTTCGCATCTGTGTGAAAAGGAAATGCAATCTGAACTAGTAATCTGACCCGCATTGTTGCTCTATAACGTTATCTTGAACAACTTCACATTTAAGTTAGCATACATGGCTAGGCTAACTAGCCGAGGCTAGCCTATAACAAGAAGCATCTGCTTCAATAGTGGCTCGTTCACACAGGAAAAATAAATTTCAGATGGAAACATCACTTGTAAATCTAAATCGATAAATGATTCAAATGTAAAATTAAACCTACCCCAGATAGACGACTGT